TCCACTGGTGTTTTTCTATTTATTTGTCTGACCAGGTCATAAAATATCTCATTAACATTGATCTTTGACTTTGCAGAAGATTCTAAAAAGGCACAGTTACACCACTGTCTTGCTAAATTCTGGCCCTGTTCTTTGCCAACTACTCGCTCATCTTCCAGGTCATATTTATTGCCAACCAAAATCATTGGAACATCTCCTGTGTCCTTAACCTGTAAAATCTGTTCCCTTAAATCCTGTAAATCATTAAATGTGGACTGAGCTGTAATAGAATATAATAATGCAAACCCTTGGCCATTCTTCATATACAAATCCCTCATAGCTGTAAATTGTTCTGTCCCTGCTGTATCCAGGATTTCCAGCATACACTGTTGGCAATCTACTTCAACTTGCTTTCTGTAGGAATCTTCTATCGTTGGGTCGTGTTTTTCAACAAAAATTCCTTGAACAAACTGAACTGTCAGAGCAGACTTTCCCACGCCTCCTGAACCAAGGACCACTAGCTTGTACTCACGCATGATGTGGTCTTAAATACTGACAAGACCCCGGGTCCGGCGACTCCTCCCCCTCCCCCTCCTCCTCCTCCCCCCTCTTGGCTGAGGCTCGGGCTCAGGCTCAGGCTCTGTGCGGCAATGGCGCCAGCAGCAGCAGCAGCCTCCGGAGCGGTGGCCACTATTTCTTTCTCAATAAAATTAATTAAAAAAAAAACCCTATTGTTGTGTCTTTCACTCATGTTGTTACAGGAGCTGTAAGAGATTTAGCAACAGACCTCATGACTTCACCAGGGCATGGTACACACTGGACATGGCATTAGAAGTACAGGTAGTGATTCATTTTTATTCTTCTATATTAGAAGTCCTTCAAAGTCACCCTTGATATTTCAGGAGGTGACAGGAGTTCTGAGTCAACAGAAGGCAGTTGATCAGCCCAGAGTGTGGTTTCAATCCAGTTTAAATGTCATTTGTTAATCATTGCTGAGAGCAGGATTAGATAAATTGTACACCACCATTCAGGAGAATTTCTGCTATATTTAGGACATGTGCTATTAGCAAATGGACCAGATTCTATAAAAGGTGTTGTGTTCCTATCATCCTAAAGAAACCTGTGTTTTCTCCCATATCTCAGCCTTCTGTGAGCATCTGTGCTTATTTGCCTTAACAAGAAGATGAAATATTTCAGAGAGAATAATGAAGATTAAAGGGTGAAGGTGTAATACAGATTTGGGCCATGTGGAAAAATCAGAGATGTTCCATGAACATAAGCAGGGGGAAGATGGAGATAGTTGACAGAGTGACCAACATAGAAAAGTTTAAGAACAGTCATAGAAATAAGGGAGGGCCCACATAAAGTTATGTAACAAAAGGCTACAATAACATCTATTAGATTTGATCATAATCCAGTCAGGGTCATGGGAGAGCATAGACAAATGAAGAGAGAAACCAAAGCATCATGCAGATTTGAAGACAGATGCTAAATGTGGAAACATTTGAAAAAACCAGAACTTTAGTCCATCCAGTGACCAAGATGAGTATCCCAATTATTAAAATACTAATGGAGAAAGTTAAAGGATATTTAGTTGACTCTTGAGAAATGTGACTAATTAAACACCCAGACTAGAGTTCTTATGAGGATGGTGTTGATCATGGATAGTAAATAGGAAGCTCTTTCTCAAATGAAATAGGGAAGAAGAGATGAAGGGAGGAATGAGGCATGGGTGTGGAAAAGAATAAAAACACATTTAAGAAGTAAAAAGAACAACATAGAGCTTTTAAAAAGGAGAAAGGAACCAAGATTTATAAGAAGAAAGAAGGTAGCGGAGAGATAGGGTCTTAATAATTAAAATATATCATGTACATGTACCAAGTCACCACTCTCATCGATTACATATGTAATCATAATGCACTGTTAAAGGGGAAATTACAATTTTAAATGAAGCCTGCCATGAATGACTGCCAAAAGCAGAAGGCTATTTCTAGGAGGGCATAATGATCAAGTAGTCCTAACTTTGTGTAATGCATGCTTGCTTAACTGAAGGCTGTGCAATGTAAAAAATGTTCCATGGTGAAGGGACTATGTACAAATTAGCATCATTTCCTGCTTTACAAGATTTGTTTTGTGGGTAGGGGAGATAGCTCAGTGGATTAAGCACTTGCCTGGCAAGTGTAAGGGCCTGGGTTCAATCCCTGATCCCACAAAAAACAAAACAAACAAACAAAAAACCCAACATTTGTTTTGCTCCAGAGGGTTGGAACTGAGAAACAAATTCGTGTTATGTGAAGTCTTCATCTAAACCCTGAATCCAAACCTTGGAATTGGTTATGAGTGTGCTAACCAGGGCTCCAGGCTGCTATTTTTAGGGTAATAAGTTAACTAACATCAGTGTAATTAGCTCTGCCTGACCCCACCCCCACATTTCACCTTTGACACTGTAGTCACTGAACACCTCTAAATTGCATCTGTGGCATTCTTTTCTCATGCACAGCACTACCCAGGCTATCAAGCTGTGCCTCTGAGGACAGAGACAGCCTGATCAGGGCAGAGGGGCTGATGAGCCTCTTTTGGCCTGGGAAATCTGCAGAGAGCCCACAAACCCAGGGAACTCGCGTCACCTACACTATGGTGTCACCTTGGGCACATGCTCTTCACCATGGGGCATCACAACTGGGGACTCACCTCTCTGCACGACTGCTCAGAATGTTTTAGGAAGGCACTGTTGCACCTCTGAGTTTGGTAGGATATTAATTAGGAAGAGCAAGTGACCGAGAGTAAAATCTACTTTTCCTCCATGCTACCTTCTCTCAAATACTTCTGTCTTGAGGAATTCATGTTCAGGAATACATGCCTTTTTTCCCCCCTTTTGTATTTTACAGAAGTATCTACAGAGTGTTCAGGGTCACCTTGCTAGATCAGACTCCTAGTGATCCGCCTGTTCACACCATCCCAAGACCTGGGATTATACACATGCCCCCCATGCCCAGTCTCAATTGGTATCTCAGGGAACCTGGGGTGGGACTGGAACAGCAAGCCTGAGGATCGAACCATCGGCCCTTGAGCTTGCTTACAGGTGCTTTGATCCACTGAGCTATTTGGCCGGCCTTAGTTTTTTATTTATAAGAGAATAAAAGTACAGAAAAAAACATTAGAAACAACACATAATTTCACAAACAAAATAATAGAAATTCAACAATGATTGTTATGTTGCATAATGTACTCTTCAAATTAGTTCTTCAGCATATATAAGCATGCAAAATTGGATTTTAAAAGTATAAGAAATAAAAAAAGAGAAGGTAAAATAATTGAAGCATTAACTTCTTTAGGGGTCAGGGAAATGGCTCAGTAGAATAAGGGCTTGCCTGGCAAGCTCAAGGACCTGAGTTCAATCCCTGGTTTTGAAAAAAAAAAAAAAAAACAACCAGCCAACCAAAAAAACAAACAAACTGCTTCTTTTGGTTTAGTTTGGTTTTGCACAGCCATTGGGCTTTGAGAATGCAGCGTTTTGCACTTTTGCAGTTTCCAGAGCCCCAGCACTGAGCCCCAACACAAGGAGCTGAGCAGCACTGAAGGAAGTCGTGCAGGCCTCCTGGGAAGCAGTGCACAGAAGAGGCTCCTCTTGCAGTGCAACTTACACAGATGCTCAAAGTTCTCCATCCTGTCCAGATGTCACTGTCCTGGTGAGTCCATGTGTGAACATCTGTGAGTGCCTCCTTTGGCACCCTGACTGCCTTCTTTGGGCAGTCTTCCACTGAGCATCAGGGAATGGGGAGAGTAGGGTATTACCGATGTGTTTGTATTTCAAGCTGGAGTGGGTCATGGGGTGATGCAGGCTCCTTTTGGCTGGGCTTAAAACACATCCTTAGATGATGAGCAGCATCTTTAGGTTACCTAACAGGAGGAGGTGGCTCTGAGTTGTTCCTGGAGCCCCAGTCTAGTGCATCCAGGTCCCACTACGAGTGGAGTAAGTTTGTGCCAAAAGAGGAGTTGAGATCAATTCTTGGAGGAATGTTTCTCTCTGATTTATTAGTGTTATGAAGTGAGGTGCCCCACCAGTTGTGTTGTTTCCTGTTGAGTAGGGAACCAGGGAAGTACTAAACTGCTATGTCATTCCTAAAAACCTGGGATTCAGAGTTGTTCTTTGAGCATTTTTGTGTCATTTCAAGTGTCTGTAGTTGAACTCAGTGGTCCAGAGAAGAAATGGACACCTGTACTTTGCTCTCTAAGGAAGACATTCTTCAGAACTGCCTCCTGTTGGCTCAGAACTCCTGTGACCTCCTACATAAATCAAAGTTGACTTTTAAAATCTTGCAACATAGAAGAATAAAAATTCACCACTACCTGTACTTCTGAATGCCCTGCCCATTGTGTACCAAGCCCTGCTGAACTCATGAGGTTTCTTGCTGCCTCTCTTACAGCTTGTGTAACAACATGAGTGAGAGACACTGCAATAGGTTCTGGTCTACATCCTCGATGTTTGCTGAGATTTATGAGCGTGGCTTGGAAGACAAAGCAAGTGTCATCTAAATCCTGGTTTTACGAAATTTCATGCTGGGGCTGGGGAGACAACTCGGTGGTCTAAGTGACTGCCTGGGAAGTGCAAAACCTTGGCTTAATCCCTGCTAAAGCCTCCAAATTGGGCATGGTGCCACATACCTGTAATCACAGCGCTAGTGAGCCTGAGACAGGAGGATCACTTTGAGTCCAAATTTCATGCAGAGACCTATCAAAATAATAATAGTAATGACAATAATATTATGTTCAATGTTATTTGGAAATGCCAGTGTTCCAGGGCTTGAGTTTTGAGTTTTGATCTTACACAGACTGGGTTAGTCTTGATATTTTAGAAGTACTCCAACAATTTCAGAATAAATAATGCTACTTGTATTGGGATTTATAATGTGCTTTTCCCTGTCTAACATCTTACATATTTTTATTTTTTAATATATGTATAAATTTTTATCTTAATTACTGGAGACCAAATTTGGGACTTTCTCCTTGCACAGCAGGGAAATATGCTGCTGAGCTGTCTCCCCAGCCCTTAACGTAATATAAGTAGACACTAAAGAAGAAAATTTGAAGAGCACCTTTATTTCAAAAACTAAAATTACATAAGGAAAGAATTAGCGAATACTAGTTAACATACTCTTCATCATGACCAACAAATGGCCAAAATGTTCTTGAGTGGTGTACCATTAACAATGTGAAGACCTTGGGTGTCTACAGTATAGGCCGTTTCTTTTAAATATGTTTCATGGCCTTGGTAGAACTAAATAATGCTCCTACTTTTGCCTATGGTGTTATGCCAGAAGGCAGGGACTATTCTTTAGAGTGTACACATCCAGTGTGCTACATAATACAAAAATAGAAATATTTGAAATAAAATCTGTATTTGTAATTCGGTTGAGGAAAGAAGTCCTGATGCAGGCCTCTCCAGTGAGGCCATGGGGCACTAAGTGTACCCCTAGCTAGTCTCCAAGTCTCCATGCACCTGCTACCCAAGCCATCAGACTTCCCATTCACAGGCAGACCCAAGTGAGTA